GGAGTGTCTGAGGGAATCCCTGCAGGGAAGGCGGGTGTCAGGGTGGTTGCTTTTCCACTGCACTAAACAGTCACCCTGTGGATGTGTTTGTTTCCCAGAGCTCCTGCGTTAGCGGCACTGCTCAAGCTAATGCAGCGTAGGCAGTCCGTGTTAATCACTTTATTGGCGCTTCTGCGCTGAAGTATCTTTTGTGAGAGTCCAGGGGAGGCCACAAAGCTGATAAGAGGACTGGTGTGTCTCCCCTATGAGGACAGGCTGAGGGAGTTGGGGCTGTTTAGCCTGGAGAAGAGAAGGTTGTGTGGAGACCTCATAGCAACCTTCCAGTGTCTGAAGGGGCTCCAGGAAAGCTGGAGAGGGACACTTTGTTAGGAACTGCAGTGACAGGACAAGGGGTAACAGACTCAAATTGAAGGAGGAGAAATTTAGGTTAGATATTAGGAAACACTTTCTTACTGTGAGGGGTGGTGAAACACTGAAACAGGTTGCCCAGGAAGGTTGTGCCTGCCCCAACCCTGGTGGTGTTCAAAGCAAGGTTGGATGAAGCCTTGAGCAACCTGATCTAGTGGAGAGGTGTCACTGCACCATGGCAGGGAGGCTTCGACTAGATGATCAAGTGCTAAGGAAAGGCTAAGGGAGTTGGGATTGTTTAGCCTGGAGAAAAGGAGGTTCAGGGGAGACCTTATGACCCTCTACAACTCCCTGAAAGGAGGTTGGAGTCAGGTGGGGGTTAGTCTCTTCTCCCAGGCAACCAGCAGCAGGACAAGAGGGCACAGACTCAAGCTCTGCCAGGGGAGGGTTAGGTTGGATATTAGGAAGAGATTTTTTACAGAGAGAGTGATCAGGCATTGGAATGTGCTGCCCAGGGAGGTGGTGGATTCACCATCCCTGGAGGTTTTCATGATGAGACTGGATGTGGCACTTAGTGCCATGGTCTATAACCACGGTAGGGTTGGACTCGATGATCTTTGAGGTCTCTTCCCACCTGGTTGATTCTATGATTCTATGATCACTCTCTAGTCCTTCCTGTGTAGTCTTTCCAGAGTGTAGCCCAAATCCACTTTCAGCAAGTATTTATGTATTTACTTGACTTTAGGAAAAAAATTAATTAGAACTATTTAATTAAATAACTTTATAGGCATGTAATCCAGTCTTAAGACTTTTTAGCTGCCTGTGGAACACTTTCCCTAAAAGAAATGCCTTTCAGTTCTCTGGAGCACCTGGAGTATCAGCCAAGCCCACTGGGGGGAGCAAATGACTTGTGCAAATATGTCTCTCCGTGCACGCTCTAAAGCTCTTGTAGACAGCATGGGAAATTTAGACATATAAACAGCTAAAATTTAAGAATTAATTCAGTGCCTAAATAATTACATCACGTACAGAAGTTAAACTTATTCCTTGTGGCATCTGTGCTAAAACTGTATCTCATTCCTAATTAATCTCTTCCCTTACTCTGTGAGCCCCACCTTTTGCTGCCGTTCCCCCTAGCTAAGCCCCTTGTCCATAATATCATCCTTTGCGTTCTTATCTTGTGTTTTCAATTACCACCTTCAGCTGTAGAGTAACTTTTATTCCCACAGCCTCATGGAGAACCTGAGATCTCAAGGGAACAAAACTGTAAATCTGTGCTGAGAGATGGCAAGAAATTTCTCTGGCAACATGACAACCGAGGGGCAATATTGGGAACCTGGGACCTGATGCTGCCAGGTGTGAGAGGACTGGCCAGAAAGGGCATGTTGAATTTGTCAAATTATGTTTCACAACAAAACCTCACAGGCTGTAGTTTTTTCCTAGAAATCAAACAGATTTTTTTACAGGTTGAAACATTGCATTTTACCACCCATAATTATACACACAGGTCTTTCAATCCTCTTTAGACAGTAAGAGATCTTTAAGTGAAAAGTAGATATTTTACTGATTTTCTGTTGCTTAAAAGCTACTGGTATCTATAGTCCAAGGTAACCTCTACATTGTCTTAGTCTGAAAACACTTTCTGATTACCTCCTTTGGAACGACAGTGCTTGTAGAAATTAATCACATCTTTAGTCTATATTAATAAATTTCTTCCTGAGTGTCCCCAAAATACAGGTTAATTATGTGGCTAGAGCACTGTCTTTACTTATTTGTCTTAGATTCATATCCAAATTAGGTAATGTCAAAAACTGAGCAGGAACATAAATGCACTGAAGATGAAATCACCAGTTTCCTACTCCAAAGTGCTGCAGTTCTTAGAAAATGTTTTAAAATCTAAATTATTTCAAATACACCATGACTGTACTTATGCTTTAAACAAACCTTTATTTTGTGAAGCTTAAAAACTGTATGTATTTGCAGACCCATAAATGTTAATATATTTGTTTAGAAATCATATACCAAAAGGGGTCAATTTACACCCATACTGAATTGGCTTTATATTAAAATCTAGACAGGGAAAAATGTTTTCTACTTTGACTGGGACTTTTTAAATCTAGACTCAATTTCAGAATAAGATTTTACTTATGTCTTACTCATATTTAAGAGCTGAAGTTTATTTCAGGCATGTCACTGTCACTTTCAAATATCCAGGAATTTCATTCCAGATGAGCTCAGTGTAGATAGGTGTTGATTCCCAAGTGATGCTTTGGAAACAGAAGATCTGGGTCACTATAATGTTCATTCTACTGCACAGTAAACTGAAATGTGGCACACACTAAACTTTATTCACCTCAGCTGTATTGCTCTCTGAAAGCTGGAATTCTTGTCAGCTCATTCTAAAATATGATCTACAGACACAGCTATGTTATTGGCATACATAGCTGTACAAAAAAACCCAAAACCCACTCCTTAAAAAACATGGTGTACCAGCTAAGTATAAGTTATGCCAACAAAAGGACTCTTTTGCCAGAATAAACAGTATTTATTCTGATTCCTCAGTATAACTGTGTTAGCAAACTCTTTACAATGGAGATCAACTCCAAGAAAGTTCATACAGGTCCCAGAATATCCTGCTTCTCTACAATGTGAGCATTTGCTGCAGAACTCATATGTAGAAGGAAAAGCAGCTCCCATGGCTCCCATGAAGACCAAATTGACTGCATAGCAGTGCAATATTACAGCTTCAAAGTTGGACTGACCTAGTCATCCCAGTGAGACAGTGGGTTAATGCATTCTTTCTGGCATCTCACAGCACATCTCCTGCAAGCAACACCATTTTCCCTTCCAAAAATGTAGTTTCTCCCAGTAGCTTCTTCAATTAAAAATTCTGCAGTATTTTAAATATGTGCCAATGACTTGGATTAAAAATCGTTCATTATGCAATGTTTAAGAAAAACAAGACCCTGCCTGCGTTGTATGTAGCTGTATATATAATTAATTCAAAAAATCAGCTTAGGTATAGCTGCCACAGAATCTCTGAATGCTACTTGAGTAGCTACAACCACCAGTGTAAAAGGGATCATTCAGCATGGGGCAGTGTGTCGTACTTCATTTGTACAGTCCTGCTAGTCAACAACTAAAGCTTCTGATAGTACTGGTCAAACACCTCTGCCAGTGCCATGAAAGCACAATGTTAGAAATAATTAAGTCATTGAGGGCTTGCTGATTGATTCCTTTCCATGTCTTAAATTCTGAGCCTACAAGAAAGATGGAGAGAGACATTTTGCAAGAGCATGCAGTGACAGGATGAGGAGAATGGCTTCAAACTGAAAGAGATTAGGTTTAGGTTAAATATTAGGAAGAAATTCTTTACTGTGAGGGTGGTGAGGCACTGGCACAAGTTACCCAGAGAAATTGTGGATGCACCACCCCTGGTAGTGTTCCAGGCCAGGTTGGATGTGTCCTGGGCAAACTGGTCTAGTGAAAGGTGTCCCTGCCCATGGCAGGGGGTTGGAACTAGATGCTCTTTAAGTTCTCTTCCAACCCAAACTGTTCTATGATTCTATGAATCAGTTTACTCTGTACATCATTGTGACACCATATGAGACAGCAGTCAGAAAAATGAACTTCCAAATCCATACATTCTGTCCCTGTAAACACATACATAGATGAGCACTGTCCACCTTAAGAAGTTAGAGTTAACGATGCAAACACTCGATTACATTTGCATAGTTGTGAAAATTTATTAGTTACAGTGTAATGAAAATCAACTTTTTTTGGTACAGGCAGAAATAAAAACATACATTATATAGAAAAAAAATCACAGCTTTAAAAACTGGCTTACATTGTTTAAAATGAGTAAATCTGGTTGTATTTCAAGGCATTGGACTTTAATACTTAATTTTATGCCAAACCATCACACAGTGCAACAAATATTCTGCAATAGTACAAATTCCATACAGCAGTCTTCAGAGTATTTAGTCTCACAGAATCTCATGGTGGCAAAAAAAAATGTGCTGAATACTTTTCTATTTAAACACAAAGCATTGCTGTAGTTATATTTTCCTTTCTTTACAAACTCTCTCTTACAAAAATATCAAATCGCAAATTTGACAGTGTATTCTACAAATAAATGCGCCATGAGCAACAGGAATTCCAACTTTGGGACAGTTACTTTACAAAGTGTATTATAAAAATAAATTATATGGCAAATATCAAACAAAATCAAGCACGTGCCTTAGGCTTTGCAAATAAAAGTGAAATTCAGCTGGCAGAAATATTGCTTCTGACTAGAAGAAAGGCCTCTCTCTGACTAGGTACTTCCACAATACCAGCAGGGCCCTTCATTCTTAAAGCTCTACAAGAAAAAAAATATATATAAAATCTAATGGAAGCACTAATACTTCCATGAATAATCAGTAGCACAAGTGACCCTGGTGTTGATGGTAGAGAGGTTCTACAGACTTCCATCCAACGGGCGCAGAGGGTAGTGCACACAGAGCACGTAACGGGCGGTAACTCATCTAGAGTTCATGCGTAACTGGTGAATGATGACACTCTCTAAAAGAAAAGATAGCAAAACATTTGGGTTTATGGAACTGCAAATGCATTGCGAGTTACTTTAAAGAATCACAGAATCAGCCAGGTTGGAAGGAACCACAGTGGGTCATCTGGTCCAACCTCCCTGCTTCAGTAGAACAAGAACAATTACAATGGCAGCACAAGGCGATTTTCTAGAAATGTCTCACAGACTTTCTCTCACATCACTGCTTGATAAAACTGTCCTGGTTAATGCTGCAAATGGAAACTAAATTAGTACCTGTCTAGGGCTCAGAGGGCCTTGGCTTCCACTTGAATGTCAAGTCTGTAATTTGGTTGTCCATAGGGAAAAAGAGCAATGCAGTTGAATGGATTAAACCACAGGGGCACCAATATTCCAGTCCCACACCCAAATCAGAGGAGGACTTGGAGTTGAGTGTCTTGTATCCTGCCTAAGCAAATCCATCATGAAGCTGCTGGCAATTCTGAAATGGGGATGAGGAAGAGGTATGGGGTCATTTCTTAACTTTTGATTATTTAAACTATCTGGGTTTATTCAGCAAGTTTTCATCAATTTTGCTCCTGACTTTAATGGGGATACATTTCAGCCACAGCATGCAAAACTAAGTGTTGGCATTTTCTTTGAAAGATTTGATTTAACTTTGCCCTGCATGTAATATAGGAGTTCCCTGATCCTGATTAATCTCTGGGCTCTGCTGAAGTGCTACTGACCTGGTCTTCTAGTCTTCTGTCTATATACACAACTCTTACAGGCAACACTTTTTATATAAGAATTTAGCCCTCAATAACCTTTTTCTCTGAAAAGGTGTATTTTATGCATTTCAAACAATATAACTATATCAATGCTAACTAAAATATACAATAACACATTTTCAGATATCCTCACTTTCTTTTTTAAGATTCCTTCCTTTCTCAATAGTATGAAGATTTTTCAAAATTTACATGACCCAAGAAATGACATCATTATTGCCTTTTACATTTCTATTGACTTGTGCCTTTGTCTGCTTCCTAACTAATATTTGCAAGTTATTTGATTAAGTTACATTATAAAAATAAAGAAAAATCAAAATGTTTTCCATGTACTCTCAGTGCCAGAACGTTGCCACTAGATGGCAGATCCCAGTGATGCTTTTCATAAGTGGTGAATCAGAAAAGCAGGGCTGAAATAATAGCATTTCCCGTAGTGAAATATAATTTCCATATAATTTATCAGTAACAAATGATTTTCAGCAAGATAGGAGTTCTACCAGGTCTAAGCAGTGAATTTGAAAGAACCACAAACTGCAGTATGATTTTACCTGACAACCACTGCTATTCTGTAACTTGAAGCTCTTGTGGACCATGATGTAAAAAGCTTCATTTACATAATATCAGAGTGTAATCTCAGGTGAACTCTCCCCTTAACTTCAATGGGAGTCACATGAACTCTATATTAAACAATTATTTGCTTAATATTCACTATGCAAATTTTATAGGAATAAGGAGTTTAGACAAGAAATTCTAAAAACTAAATGGGTAGCAGAAAAATATGACACTCCTGTTAAGACTCAGTCACTGAATGAACAGCAAAACTACAGTAGGTTTCTGAATCAGACTTCCTCCTACAGACCCAATATACCAATTATACAGAAAAGGAGAAATAATTTTTAAAAATTAAAAATTTCCACTACTAGTAGCAATTTTTCATTTGTTTCTCACGAAGAGAACACACACTCTTAATTTGTCTATCAGTTGTTTGTATTTGAAATGCTTATGTAGCTATATAAATATATATATAATATACACACATCCTGTAGTTACTAGAAGAGGTGTCTGATCAGTTATTAAGCTAAAATTACAGTAGGGCAGATTTTGTCAAGAGTTCTTTTGGACCACCCTCTGTAGGAATACAGTTGTGTCTGAAGGATATGATATAAATTTTTCTAGGGTTATAGAGGTAAATATGTCAAGTAGCTGTCAATTCACTTAAACAAAATAATTTATTTTAATGACAGGAGAAGAAAATGAAGTTAATGTAAAGCAGCTAATTCTGCTTTAAGCCCCATTGATGTGAATCAGAACCTTTTCAGGAAACACATCAGAGTACCAGTTCATATAATGAAGCACATAAACTGACATTTTAATATATCAAGTTTAATTTCTTCTTACAATATATACAAATAACATCAGATAATACAAAAGTGAATGTACCACAGACAGTGCACGCCCAAGCAACAGAAAGAAATCATATGTCAGTATTTCTATTTTTAAAATCCCAAAGAGTTTTTTTGTTTGAAGAACAATTCACACCTGAGTGATTCATACCTGACTCTCAGAGCTGATAGCTCTGCACCTGACAGTAGTTAACCCTGGTTGCAGTTTCAAAAAAAAAAAAAGCCATGTTAGGAGCAGTGTGTAGGGAGTAAGATTCAGACTGAAGTTAACATCTATAATGAGAAATGTTGCATATAATAATTCACACTGACGTAGGGGAGAAAAACCATTCCCCTAAATGAAAACAAGTTCGAAAGATGAGCTCACAGAAACTCCTGCCAGCAAACTACATGTTTCAAAGCAACTCAATTAAATTGGCCACTGATGTGTGATGGGAACATATAATTGGTCTGAAAATTGCCCTGACTGTTGCAGCTTATGCCAAGTACCTGAAACCCAGCAGGACAGTAGCTTGCTGTCTTTAAAGACATGGTATTCCACACCTTATCAGAATTACTGAATATTCATGTAAATATTGAGGATGTTTTAGAGCGTGTGTAGCATATTTCAGGCAGTGACATATGATTTGGTATCCAGCTGGCACAAATCAACATATTAACGTGGCTTTAGAGATTACTCACATGATGCTAATTACTATGTGCTGTAAGTGGTTTGAGGTTTCGATACGGTAACATGCTCACTCTATGGGCATATTCAGAAGAGTCACAAAGTGTTGTTTGGTTTTTGAA